CAAGTGACACCAAGAATGCTGTTTCTCTTTAATTCCGTCGAGTTGCATCTGGTTCTTCTGTTCGCCTCACCATCGAAATCCATATAATCCCGTCTGAGACCTTAGTCATAGCGTCATATTATGAAATGAACCTGGATTAAAGACGTAAAGACCTCTGTTTGGAGCCATTAACAGGCACTTATTATGCTCTTATTCCCGGATTCATGACATGCCTATACGGCTGCTGTAGAGAAGTTCATGAGTCTGCGCTGTATTGCATTTCGCCATATCAAATGATCCTGCTTATTTGTCTGTCGAGATCATCATCTTGAGTCGTTTGCCTACGCAGAGCAACACTAATTTGTGCAACATTTTGACATAAAGCATCCTTTAGCGCATCGTGGAACAATTCCCGTTGAAAAGTGCAACCTCATCTGCTCGGTTCCTCCATACTCCGTTCTGGCCTCCTTCCGGCTACCAACCAAGAAGCTCATAGGATGAATTAAATGGCTTAGAGCATATTCTCTTTTAACGGCACTGTCCCCTTCTAGACGCCTACAAGTCCATTTAAGCAGGCCACTGTTCCATGGAATTAGACCACCTGCAGTACATGGATGTGAGACCGCATCATAAAGCAGGGCCGAACAATGGCTTCTTCGGTCAACTGGAAATACAACGTGATCAGTAGGCTTATTTATAAAAAGGACTGAACCCGATCTCATGGGTTTACTAGCTTACTGCTAATTATTGATGCCGGCACTAAGATATATAGTCCTTTTCAGTTTTTGATTGTTTAAATGAATGTTCATAATTCCAATAAGCGATGTCGTGCATCACTAAGCAGGCTAAGTAAATGGTTTAGGCTTGACCAGTTCATCAAATAGGGTTGCAGCATATAAAGTTTCTTACGTGATGGTAATTCTGTTGAGCAACGGATTTTCCTCATGAAGTTTCAGCGCCACCAAACGAGAAACCGGAAGCAAACCGATGAGGTGCGAACAACAGATAAGATAGTCATGCTCCTCGTACTCTTTGCATGATCATAACAGAGCTCCGTGCTGCCGTTAGGTTTCGTCAGTCAACAGCCTTTATCTAT